ATAAGCCTTTGTTGTGTACTTCCAGCTGAGAGGAATGGCTACGCTACATAACTCTAGGCACATCATGCAACCTTTATATCTCACCGTTTAAAAATAACTTTAAACCTCAGATCCTCGGAGGAGCTAAGTGGATTAGTTTTGTTGAGCTCTATAAATACTCTTCAGATCTATGGCTCTGCATTTCCCACAGTATGTGCTATTGTAAAGCTGGTGTCTGGACCCTTATAACAATCCCTTCCAAGTGCAAACCTATTGCTTTGAGAATCATCTTCCCATATATTTTCTCGATTAATCTATAGCAGCCTCTTGGCTCCGAGTCCAGCGCTGGCTCAGAGATGATGGGTGGAGCATGTTAAACACCAAAGCCTGCTGGGCTCCCTTTCTTCTGAAACCCTTGTTAATGTTCTGAGGTTTAGTGGAGGTTCTGGGGAGATTAATAAACCCAAAGAGCAAACAATCTTACGTCTTTCTCCTTTAGCTTTGGAGTGTGTGAATTAGATGTTCCAGGTGTGTTTACTACGGGCTGGTATAAAAATGAGGCTGTGGATCTTAGGAGACATGACTAATGTTGGGGAAAGGTAACCTAGAGTTAGTGGTCCACCAGGAAGTGTCTGGAGGTGAAATATTTCTGTGTCTGATCAACAGTTAGATAACAGATCACTGAGAGTGTGAAATGCTGCTGCTGTTCGGTACTGGAGAGCATGGTGGGTTGGTGATGGCATCAAGGATTCACTTTCCCCCTGTGCATCCTTAAAAGCCAGCAATGTCAACTATTTTGTGGGCTTCAAAGACAGGAAACTGCAGCTTCAGAGTTCCAGTCATATCTCCCCAGCAACTTAGTTAGTAAGTTGCCTGGGACCAAATATTTTCTTCTGAGACCACACTGATCCAGCATTCTTCTCCCACCTAGAGCTTTGGTGGAGCTGCTGTTGGTTGTCTCTAATCATGATCATTAGGAAACTGGCTGTTCTATCTAGAATTATGCATCATGTTGGCTCAGTTCAGGAATTTAGACAATGCATCATCAGGGAAGGTGGAATTGTTCTTGGAAAGATCTAACTCTTCAGCTCCTCTGAAGATCAGCAAACACTTGGCAACTTTGGGTTTCTTTAAAATTTTCCTCTGCACATTGAAAAATGGACATCTTTGATGCTCAGAAGGGTCTCATTCAAGTGCATTATGGCTGAAGAGACCCTCCATGCTTTTCAGTGTCTCAGAATTCCATCCCAGGTCACTATCTTGGAATTTGTGTTAACAAAGATGTCAGGAGCTGGCTACCTAGCACAGACTTGGAGACCTCCCCACGCTTCCCATTTTCTCCCTTGAGCGTCAACCTTTCTTCATCATTCATAGGTGGGTCTGATTTGGGCTGAACCACCGTTTGTGCACTGCTTTCCAGAATCCATTTGGCAAAGTCCTCTGGCGGCACTGTCGCTGGTCTGATGCTGACTGTCCTGGCATCTGGCAAACAGGCACTTTTGTATTTATTTATTCATCAATCTGTCTTTCCAAAAGAGACTTAAAATGGCTTATAAAAATATCTGACATGTGGCAAGATAAAATAAATAAAAAATGAGGGCTGAGACTGGGGCAAAGGGAAAATACAAGTAGGACATGACATGGAGCCAGGAGCAAGGCTGGGTCACATGGCTGTCGTTCTGCCACTTACACCTGTGCTGGAGGAGATGACGGTTCTTTGGTGGCTGCACACTCCTCGTTAGAGTCTGAGTCTGACGGTAACCCTGTGCACATCTTCTGTCCTCCTCTCCCTGCAGACAAGACATGACCAATAAAGACAATACAACAAAAAGGGGAACATGTGCGGTGTTTCCAGAATTAGGGTCATTTTCCAAAATTTTAATTTAACTTACACTACTCACCTCTTTGCTCCAATGTAAAGAATGATGTATGTAAGGCTGCTAAAAAATTCTGGTCATAAAAAGGTGCTCACTAAATGGTAACCCATTATTACCACACTCTTGAAATAGCTTTTGGGAGCATGGCCTCAGAGTCCAACAGACGTTGGTTCAAATCCCAGCCTAGTGGTTTGTGTAAACCAAATTACTTAATCTCTGCCAGCCTCTATTTTCCAGTCTATTAATAAGGATAATAATCTGGTGTTGAATCATGAAAAGTAAGTGAGGCAGTTTATATAAAACATCTAGAATGGTAATGAATCTGAAGTGAGTGCTGTTTTAATGTTGTTCTTTGTTAGTATTATTAATACATGCTTTTTCCCTCTCTCATGGGACTTTCACGAGGAGAAGGGAGACCATCCCTTTGTAGAACAGGAAGCAGCGTTTGAGGTCATTCAGTGCAGGCTTCTCATGTGCGACACAGACCCAGAGATGGGGAGATAGTGACTTGAGTCTGCGCAGTACATCAGTGGCAGACAGCAGACATGAATGCAGGTCTCCTGACGCTGTTCCCAGTCTTCCTACCACATGGCTCATCCTGAGCAGTGGCCCCTCCCCCACCACGACACTCTCCTCCAGGGGGGACTAGCTCCCCTCCCTCCGGGGAGAGCTGAAAGCATCTCTCAGGGGCGTGGTGGGATGGGGTGGGTCTCCTGACTTGTGCCTCCCCTGCTGGGAGGTGCCTGGAGCTGGGCTAGTGTCCCACTTCCTGGACCAAACTGACGAGCCATATGTTGGTTGGTGGAAGCGCAATGAATTTGGAGCCAGAATCCTGGAGCCGGTTAACAACTGTGCGGTCTTGGGAAAGTTGGTTTAACCATTTGAGCCTCAGTTTACTCAATAATAAGAGGGGAGTAAATTACATTTCTGAATGTCAGAACAACCCAGTGGCCGAAAAATCGCTTTGGTAACAATTAAACGTATTGGGTGCTTACTCTGGATCAGGCACAGTGCGGATGTTTCCATGATTTTCTCCTCTACCTCCCACAGCACAGCAGCGCTGTTAGTGTTAATGCGTGGGTATTGAGTCTCAGGCTCCAGAGGTGAAGGCCTCTGCCCAGGGGCACCCAGAAAGAGATGACTGAGTTTGCAGCAAGCTCTGTTTATCCGCAGGGCCCATTTTCTTAGCCACTGTGCCACACGGCTGGGATTCCAGTCTTCCCTTTACACTGAGAGATCTGAGGCTGATTGTTGAGCCTCTGATACCTTAGGGGCTTCTCTCTGTATTAGGAGGTTAACATTTCTGGACAAAGTTGCCTTGGAAGTATCTCGCAGGGATCTGAAGAATGCTGTATGCTTTATAATGGAAGTGGGGCACCATTGCTGGTGTCTTCATTTTCTGTTGTTTGGAAAAATAATTGGTGGATAAACGATGTGTACAAATAAGCATGAATAGTTATCTGATCCCCTGTCATTTCTGATGAAATGTCACCCATTCAGTGAACCTTCCCTGGTGGTCCTATTTAATACACCTCTCGTGTGTGTGTGTGTGTGTGTGTGGTTTCATAGCATTTATCTTCTATCATGGTAAAAAAATATATACTTTAAAAAACCATATTTTGTATATGCCTAACTCGTCTGCTAGAATGACCACTCCACCAGGGCAAAGCTCTTTGTCTGTGTTTTGTTCCGAACAACCAGAAGAGTGTCTAATGCATTGTATGTTCTCAGTAGATTCTTACTAAATAAATAAATGAACATAGTCTTCTCTCTTTTTGCCCCTATGGTCAGGATGATTTGTATGAATTCCATTTAGAACACAGCAAGTCATTGTTTTGGTTGACGGTCTATTATATTGAGCCCTAAGGGAAAAAAACTAAATATTTAGATTATCAGGAATTCAGTGGGGAAGGCCGAAAACACCAGATGGTGATGTTTATTTTGTCAGTAGATCAGCTTTTGCCAAACATTGATCAAAGTTTTGTTTTCCCGTTTATCTAAAATCCTATGAGGTCTTTCTCAAATTCAGTTTTTGTTTCAAGGATGGAAGGAGGACAAAAAGAATCGCTTTTGAAATCCACATTCAGAATTTCCATTACACCAAATTATCAGCATCCAAAGGTCCAGAGACAAGATTGTCCAAACACCTGGCAAGAACTCCATCTCTATTAGAATTCTAAACGTGGTGTGATGGCTTTGTCCTTTAGGGAGCTTTGCAGGCTAATTTTAGAATGGCTTGATTCATGATTTGCATTGATTGATAATGATCTGGCATTTAAAAAAAATGGGACAGTTCTTTTGGAATGAGAGAACTTGGAAACCAGGCCATGCTCTTTGGCAGAGACAGAGAGGAAGAAGGGACTTGGCAGGCAACAGGTTGTAGAAGTTCTAACAGTGCTTGCTCTTCACAGCTCACTGTCTTGCATCCAGCCCCACTGCGCTCATATGCACATGAAAACAACCACAAAGAAAGATAGAGCTGATATTGGGACTCTAGGGGCTTGTGGACTTGGAGATAAGAAGATTCCAGAATGCACATGAACCTAGGAGCATGTTACATTATTGCAGAATTTAGAAAAAAAATTCTAAGTGTGTGAGTCAGACCAAGTGCTAGGGACAGTATGTAAGTTATGTCCTTCGCAGTAATGTTGGGAATTTGGTGTAGAAATTCCTATGAAACCAACAAGGAGGCTAAGGTTCAGAAGGGTGAATTAACTTGCCCAAGGTCTCAAGGGATTTGAACCTCCGTCTGATTTTCAAAGCCAATGTCCTTAGTACTGTACCACCAGAGTTTCTCCAACAAAGTGTCGTTTTCTGGCTCTGCAGCGAGGCGGATGAAGGTTTCTAATTTGGAACCTGTTGGAAGTTTGGAAATGTCTAAGGGGCTGAGCTCTAGCTCTGCCTCTGCCTCTTTACTATGAGATCGTGAACTAGTCACTTTACCTCTTTGACCCTCATATTGTTTTCTCAAAAGTGGGATTAACATCATGCGCTTCCAAAGGTTGCTGAGAGATCAAACCAAGTTTGTAAAAAATGGAAAGATTATTATCATTACTGAGAGAGATCAGTCAAACCAAGCCATACTCACCTTAATTTATCTTCAATGAGATTTTATTTTTTTTATTTCGGCGGGCAACAGGATTCATGGCAGCGAATGGCACTGCGGTGACAGAATTCATTCTGATGGGGTTTCAGCTGCAGGGAGAGCTGCAGAGGGGGCTCTTCTTTGTGTTTCTGGTCCTTTATCTCATCACCATGGGAGGCAACCTGGGCATGATTGTGCTGGTTCAGAGCGACCCCCGCCTCCAGACTCCCATGTACTTCTTCCTCAGCCACCTTTCCTTCCTGGACGTCTGCTACTCTTCTGTTATTGTCCCTCAGTTGCTGGAGATCTTGGGGACGGATAAGAGGGTCATCGCCTTTGAGCGCTGTGCCACCCAGTTCTTCTTTTTCACACTCTGTGCTAGTACTGAATGCTTCCTTTTGGCCGCGATGGCCTATGACCGCTATGTGGCCGTGTGTAACCCTCTCCTCTATGCCACGGCCATGACACCCCAGACCTGCCTCGGGCTGGTGGCTGGGGCATATGGTGGCGCCATGTTCAATTCCATGATTCGCACTGGGTGCACCTTCTCGATCTCCTTCTGCAAGTCCAACCATGTGGATTTCTTCTTCTGTGACCTCCCACCCCTGCTAAAGCTTGCCTGCAGTGAGACCGGACCACGAGAACGGGTGATCTACCTCTTAGCCTTCTTGGTCATCACAACCAGCATTTCGGTGATTCTTATCTCCTACCTGTTCATCATTCGGGCTATTCTGAAGATTCGTTCCGCTGGTGGCAAAGCCAAGACTTTCTCCACCTGTGCTTCTCACATGACTGCAGTGGCTCTTTTCTTTGGGACACTTATGTTCATATACCTGAAAGGCAACATGGGAAAATCCCTTGGGGAGGACAAGGTTGTGTCTGTCTTCTACACTGTGGTCATCCCTATGCTGAACCCAGTGATCTACAGCCTGAGAAACAAGGAAGTGAAGGAGGCTCTGAAGAAAGCTCTCAACAGGATGAGGGTTTCCCAAGTAGAGTAAGACTTAAGTTCCATCAGTTCATAAGTTCCTGCAAATCATCCTTTGGGCTTTGAACCAGTGAACCTTTGAACCAGATCTCATAATTGCAACGACATAATGAGCAAAGAAAATATAGTTTTAGGTTCCAGTGATTTCTTTATTGGCTCTATGACCTTGAGCCAGAAATTCTCTGCCTCAGTTATCACATCAGTAAAAATTGCCTTGCTATAATTCAAGCCAGGATCAAGACAGATGGAATGCCAAAGGGTTTTATAAGTAATAACATGCTATAAATGTGAATTTATTTTTCTGACCTGTCCTAGGCATTATTGAGTGTTTTCTCAGCTACATAATTTTTTTCTACAATGCTAACATTGGCACCTTGAAAAATTATAAAACAATAGTTTATTGTTTACATAGTAAAGACAGTCACATTCTTTGGTTATGGGTAGTGGGGTGGAAATCAGCCTTGCCCAAAGAAAACTTCCCTCGACATTCAATTATGTATAATTTAGGCATTTGTCATGGAAAATACAAGTAGCTAAACAGACGAAGCAAAAATAAAGGGAAAGAAGATGTGAACTAGGGAATGTTCAAGCAGAAAATATTAATTTACCAAGATAACATAGAGGACCAAGACACTACAGAATGAAAGAAAGATGTAATGATTTGCGTTAATTATTAGAAATAGTTTGATCTTGATATAAAGCTGAACTGAGCCCTATATGTAACTTTTGAAATATTTCTTGATCAGCAAAGGTCAGAAGCTCTGTTCTATTTCTGAAGCATTGTTCATGGACCATCTGCCTTAGTTAACTCAAACTATTTTCTATTCCCCAGTAATGAAAACCACTGTCTCCTTCCATCTCCTGCAAGACATTTACTTTATCACCCAATGACATATAACTATGAATCTGACTGCCACCTTTTCATGACCTTCACATCTGCTAGAAATATTACTTGGGAAATATCTCTGTGCAGATCCCACAATCTTATTCATCAATTCAGCAAATATTTACTGATTATCTATTATATATCAGAAATAATATCAGGTTCAGGAATATAGTAATAAATAAGACAGACATGCTTCCTCCTCCATGGAGACTAGAACCTGAGGCACAGACAGACACTGAACCATTACACAGATAATTCATTTTTTAAAGTACGATTTTGGAAAGTGGAAGGAGAGGGGTAGGACAGGATGTTGTTATGCTGAATGGAAGGGTTCTGACCTAGTTTGCTGTGGTCAAAAGGGTGGTAGACCCCCGAGGAACCAACATTTAAGCTGAGGCTTAAAGAGTAAGTATATCATAGTCGTGGGGTAGGGGGACGATTCCAGATACAAAGAGCTGCAGATGCCAGGGTCAGTGTGACATGATGCCTTGAGGAACTGAGAAGCCAGAGTGGCCGCAGCCGAACCCGTGAGAAGCTTCATGTGAGCTGCAGCTGGTGAGTCCAAGAGAAACCAGGTCACAGACAGCCTTGCGGGCTCACTTAGGGGCTTGTGGACTTGAACTCCAAGAACAAGGCGAGAAATGGTCATATCTGAATTGTAAAAAGATCCCTTTGGCTGCGGCGTGATGGGTGAGAAGGGAATCTTGTGACGGTGGAAATAGAGGGAAATGTACTCATTTCATCTAAGAAACAATAAACGGTGTGTCCCAGGACAAGGTGCTTGACTGCCACACGATACTGTGAGCTTCATTCTAGAACACACATCGGGGCAGAGAAAGCTTGCAGGTAGGTGTATGACCATGCTCTTGGTACAGAAGTGCTTCTTGGCAAAAAGGTGAAACGGGGGCAACATACTTTTGGAGGCTCCTACTTTTTCCTTGGTAGACCTTTCCTTCCCTGAATTACAAACCTAAGTTATGACAAGTTATACCTAACTACTTATCACATGTCTGTTTACGGCCATCGACAACTTCATCTTGGGAGCAACACATTTTTAGTAACTCCCACTTTATGCCAGGCAGTGCTAAGGGGCTGAAGAAGTCCCCCCTTTCTTCAAGGGTTTCTTGCATGTTTTAAAGGCAGGAAAACCCCTCAACTTAAAAAATAAACAAATGGGAAAACGCTAGACAGCGAGTGTGCTATTTTGGTAGTGGTGGGAGCTGCCTCACACTCCTCCCCTTCTTGGTGAGAGGCCACAAACTTTGCCTGTCAGTGAATGCCCTTCGGTACACGGACAGTATATGATGTACATACAGTTGCTTCAGGGATTCACCAAGTGACTCTCAGAATAAAATGCAGTTTTAGTGTCTTTCAGGGGAACATCTTCTGATTACTGTGGGAAGGCACTGGGGGAAGTGGCATATATACTGAATTTCCACTTATGTATATTAATAAATGAATGAAAAATTCATAAATTACTTAATGTGTGTCAGGCTCTGTGCCAAGAATCTTCACTTATCTTATCAATAATTCTCATTTCTTTTTTTCCACTTATCATATTCTTTTTCATTATAGGTTACTACAAGATATTGAGTATAGTTCCCTCTGCTATACAGTATAAACTTGTTGTTTATCTATTTTATATATAGTAGTTAGTATCTGCAAATCTTGAACTCCCAATTTATCCCTTCTCACCTCCTTTACCCCCTGGTAACCATAAGTTTGTTCTCTATGTCTGTGAGTCTGTTTCTGTTTTATTAAGTAAGTTCCTTTGTGTCTTGTTTTTTTTTTTTTAGATTCCACATATAAGCAATATCATATGGTATTTTTTCTCTTTCTGGTTTACTTCACTTAGAATGATGACCTCCAGTTCCATCAATGTTGCTGCAAAAGGCATTATTTTATTCTTTTTTATGACTGAGTAGTATTCCATTGTATACATATACCACAACTTCTTTATCCAGTCATCTGTCCATGGACATTGACATGTCTCATTCTTAAAATAGCCCCTACTCATAATCTTAAAAAATAGGATCCTATGATGGCTGATTTTATGTGTCAGTTTGGCTGGGTCATGGAGGCCAGATGTTTGGCTAAAAGTTGTTTCTGGATGTGTCTGTGAGGATGTTTCCAGATGGGATAAGCATTTGAATTGGTGGACTCGGTAAAGCAGGTTGCCCTCCCCAACGTGGGTGTCACCCTGCAATACGTGGAGGGCTTGATTAGGACAGAAGGCAGGGGAAGGGAGTGTTTGTTCCCTCTTCTCTGCTTGACTGCGCGAGCTGGAACACCAGTCTTTTTCTGCACTTGGACTGGGATGTGTACCATCAGGTTCCCTGGTTCTTGGGTCCTGAACTACACCACTGCTTTCCTGGGATTCCTGGGTTGTGGGACTTCTTAGCCTCCACAGGAAGGATTGCGTGGGCCAGTTGCTTATAATAAATCTCCTTCTATGCCATAAACAGATCTATCACCTGCAAAAGGTTCCTATCATCTTCTTGATTCATTTATGATGATGATGATGATGATGATTTTGTGATAGAACACTTAAGATCTACTCTCTTAGCAAGTTTTTAAGTCTACAATAGGGACTATGGTAATGGTTTCACAAGTATGTGCTCATCTCCAAACTTATCAAGTTGTTTATGTTAAACATGTGCGTTTTTTTGGTATGTCAGTCATACCGTAAGCCAACCGGTTTAAGAAAAACCTCCATATATGTGTTCTATTGGTTCTGTATCTCTGGAGAACTCTGAGTAATGAAATCCAGCTGGTACTATTGAAATGTTTTTCTTTTTATCCCTTTCAACTTCTAAGTCTATCTCTTTTAAAAATTGGGTTTTGAAATGGTAAGTTTCCAGCTGTAAGACTGTGGCATCAATCTACCAAAAATGATACAGGAAAGATAAAGGAAGCAGACCTTCAGACTTTGAAGTGACCCATTTAACTCAGTACATCAAGAGGCCAAAGTGTTGTGTTCCTCTCATCATTTAGAACAACCCTGAAAAGCGATGTCACCAAGATGGCAGTGTAGGAGAGCCCAGCATTCTTCTCCTCACCAAGATCAACACTTAGAC